ATTTAATCTGGGCTGTCCGATCGTGATTAAATTGGAAATGAATCTGAGCCGTCCGCACGCGTGCAATCTAAGCCGTCCGTGCGCGTGAGAATGGATCTCAGCCGTCCGATCACGCGCACGCGGATCGCCCACGTGGCCCATTCCGCGTGGCCTTCCGGCGTCAGCGTCTCTACCACGCGGCGTGTCCTGGTTGGCCGGAGCTACTGACCGGCTGCTGACGTGTCGTAATTTTTCTAAATTGCGTTTTGACCCCCTGATTTTTTATTTTCTTTTCAAAAACACCCACATAATCCAAATTTTCACCCCTTTTTCTCAAAATCATTTTTAATTAAATCCAAAAAATAATTTTAACCCATTTTTATCATTATTTTTATTTTTATTTTTATTTATTAAATTAGATTAAATTTAAAACCCATATAATTATTACCTAATAGATTAATTATTAAAAAAAATAAATCAAAATAATTCTAATAATAACAAAAATAAAAATTTGGGTGTTACAGTTATTCTTACTTACTTGAATATGAGATTATGATATTGTTGAGCTATTGTCTTTATAAGTCAGTTTTGGAAATCTCGCAACGGTATGTATATAATAAATAATTTTACTTATAATAAATGAATTTATTTAAATTAAGAGGTTCATTAGTTGTTTTTATGATTTTTACCAACTTTCAGTTTCTGTATCGGTGAGTAGTGTGATATTCTTATTAGGGTAATGTATCTCACTCCTTCATTAACTATTTTAAATCAAGAGGAACAAGATCCAGATCCCGATTAACTTGGGGGTTGTGAATAGTTCTTTACTAAAACTCTTTCAAAAATTAGTGAAAGTCGTTCTAGAATGCTCAGTTGTTTACTTTTCGTTTATTTTTTTTATTTTTATTTTTATTTATTCTTTTAAAAATGACATTCTCATATTTTTATTGGGTATTTTAAATTATTATGTAAGGAATGTAAAATCTAACTCTATTATTTTAATTTCATATTTAATTTATAATTTATTTTTTTTTAATTTCGAGTCATTACATATATATATATATATATATATATTTTTTTTTTTATAAGTTTACCCTACCTAATATTATTTCTGGCTATCATTTTCTTACCCAGTATATGGGGATGCTTTGATATGCAACCCAAACAAGTAAAATAAAGAATAAAGAAAAGAGTTTATATATGTATGTATTTATATAATTTGAAAAATAAAAGGTAACCAAAAAGTTTTAAACAGTGAAAAAAAATATGGTTATGAAAAAATGTTCTAAATTCTAAGAATTATAGGGGGGGGGGGGGACATAAAGAACATTACAAGTTTTTCAAGTTGATCTGAACAAGATTCCACACTGTTGAAAACCATTAATACTTTATGCGATAATTGATTTCCAACATTCTACTCTTTTTTTTTTCAAAAAAAAAAAAGGGATTTTACGTTAATATTATTTATTTTTTTTATTACTAAATATAATTATTATTAGTGTAATATATATATCAATAATAATATAATAAAAATAATTTATAAATTATGACATTTATCAAAATATAATATGACTTAAATCTAAAATATTTTATAAAAAAAATAAGGTAACATCTGTTCAACTAAACAATAATTTATTTCATTTATTTAATATTATAAAAATCTTATTTAAGCTCCAACTTAAATAGTTTCTCTCAAAATTTCTTTTAAGAAATAGTAAATATTTTTTTGATTATATTTCTTCCAACCCGATTTAATTAAATAATACTTAATAATAAATTGAGAAGAAATGATAAGAAAAGTAAATATTGTATGAATTTTTTTATCTGAATTTTCAGCTAGTTACTTAGTTTTTAAATAGATAAATTATAGTAAAAAGGAAATAACTACGAAATTTTATAGATTAAATTCAACATTTTTCATCTTCTTGTATAATAAATAAAATTCTTATAGATGAAAAATAACACTTATTATCTTTTTAGACGATAAATACTTCAAATGAATTGATAGGCCTGTAAATAATAAATATTAAAAACATGTAAATTTATTTAACAATACAAGTTGTAAAAATGATTTTATTTTTTAATAAAATTTGAGTGTATATATATATATATATATATTATACATATTAAAAATTGTCCACTAGTATTAAATGGGTTTATGGTAATTTCATGGTTCTTGTGGGTTGGGCCGACAAAATTTGATTCATGTTCTTGCTTTCTTAATGTCAAAGGTAAGAAATTGTTGTCATCAACTGTCTTCTTTCAACTTGGTGACCTAATTATCTCTAATACGTACACTATGCATATATATATATATATATATATGGTACAGAGGATTTACATGATGTACACATATATGTAGAAGCAAATTGTGTATGTAGAGGCAGTCATTGTAGCAGAGAGGAGTAACCCCTCTCTCTCTCTCTCTCTCTCTCTCTCTTCTCTTCTCCTGACAAATACACATGCAGACTATAAGTATAGTTTCCAAGAAAAAATTCCAGCTGTTTTTAAAAGTCAGAGATATTGCATGATCATATTTAACAAGTTTCTTCTTTTTTGGTACAATATTTAACAAGTTGATATATATACATATATATACACACACACGTAAAAGACTTGTCAAATTCAAATGAACGATAACCACACAGATATATATATATATATATGTCAGTTAGCTAATTTGTATATTGTAAGATTTAATGTACAAGATTTATATCTAATAAGTACACCGGCATTATATGTGTACATACATATATATATATAATATTTATTGAAAGAAGTAATTAATTATTTTTAAAAATTAACGCGTAATTAAACTATACTTAATTAAGTAATGCCTATTGCTTAAGACACGTTTATTCTAAAAGTTCCAACCAGTACGGCTCTTTAAGTGCTTTTTAGAAATAAATAAATTTCTTTTTGATTAATTTTTCTTTATTTATATATCTTTTTCTAGAAAAAAAAAATTAATTTAATTGGCCACTTGACAAACATGATAATTATAGAGAGTAGTGGAACTTTTTCACGAAGACTCTGGGAGAAATTTCCCAATCGGCCAAATTAGAGAAATTTACATATATATATATATATATATATGTGTGTGTGTGTGTGTAAATATGTGTATGTATATATGCATGAGATGGGGGAGAGAAAAAATTAATTTTAATTTATTTATATTAAGTGGGGGAGGCAAAGTCTTGATCGGTCAAAATCATCAATTGAGACACAAAAAATATAAATAAAAATAAAAAATAAAAAGGTGAAAATTTTTTAATATTATTTTTTTATTGTAAATTAAGACATTAATAGCCTTCTTGCCCACTTGCTTATCAACTTGCACCCAAAACAAAAAAACTTAATTATGCACCTACTAATAATTATTTTTTACCATATTTATAATTAGAGCTTTAAATATCCGAAATTTAAATTAAATTTCGTAAAAAAACAAAAAAAAAAAAATTCTTTTATTTAAAAGTAATTATGATATTCAACTATAATTAATGTAAAAGGAAATTATTTTTTATTTTTTTCCTATTTAGATATTATTATAAGATAAAAAGATGCTTACAATATAAAAATTTGTTTTAATAAATTCGTTCTCTTCCAAATTTAATTCTCATCATCATTTTGAAGTTAAAAAAATATTTATAATATGAATACGTTAATAATAGAGTTTTAGTGATTATATAAAAATATTAAATATAAAAAAATTAAATATGTAATTTAGTATATAATAAAAAAAAAAAAGAAGGGGAAGAGCAAGTGGGAATTTGTTTTCCTTGAACAAGTTGAGTTTAATTAAAAAGCCAAGTTGGGCATATCATCTATGCAAAATCATGTTCAACATTCAAACCCTAGGTAGAGAGGTCCATGCGTTGGTACAGAATCATTCAAACTAATATGTTTTTTTTTCATATATATATATATAAAATATATATATATATGTAGATATAGAGTAAAGTTGAGTTATAGATACATTAGATCACATAAATATTTAAAATATTTTTTAAATACATATAATAATTTGGGGGGTTTGAATTCATATATATATATATATATCATATACACTTTCACGCACGTTAAAAATGACCATGATTATTTAGTTGGATAACTTATTCTCGTATACTTGATATATATAATCATACACGGAAAATAATTGTAACGTATAAATTTATACACCGTTATTGATTTTTTTTAAGAAAAAAAATTAATTTGAATAATTTTATTAAAGCAAAATAGTTATTATAAAAATGGATTTCTAATATAAAAATTAAGTAAGAAAAAAAAATATTTCCTAAAAAAAAATTTAAAAAAAAAAAAACATTTTTAGTATAAAAATATAAGATCATTCATAAATGAATTTCACATATGTTTTGATAAAATTCAAATAACAATATTGATATGTGTAATTTATACTTACAATCTGCTTGATTTTTGTGCTACATATACATATATGTATATATCTATGTATGCATTGTCCTCCTTAACAATTTATGATATATATATGTATATATTGTGGAGTTAAACATGTTCAATGCGTGCAATATTGCGTGCAACACATTGTGCATTAACTGAGATTAATTATACCAACTGGATTTTTATGAGAATTGTGATGAAGAAGAAGGAAAAAAAAAAAAAAAAGAAAAGGAAATTAATGGTAATCTTCTTCATCTTAATATACATATATATATAAATATATATATATATATATATATAAGATAAGAAGATATATATAAACTAACCTTCAAACCACCATGAAAATGATTAATTACAACAAAAATAATTTTTTTTTAAAATCAACAACGAACACAAACACATAATTACAATTTACATACTCATAGATAGATCAATGAA